TCTTCCGATTTCAGTAAAGAATATTTGTTGGCTGCTTAACATCGCCTGTTTGCCTTTGGCATGTTGGGCTTTATCTTAGCCTAGTGTAATAAATGGAAATGTCACCATTAAATTAAATGGCTCCAGGTCAAATCCATCCAATGATTACTCCGGCTTTAAGTTCAGAGCAATAGCATTCTTTGTATATTGGTACAAATTTTCTGCCAGCGTTGCTGTTTCTGGTAATTGTTTCTGTTGCATACCTTTACGTAAATTTTTGTAAACTAACGAGAGCCATGTCAGTGATTTATATAGGCAAAGCTTTTTAATAAAATGAAGATCCTGTTAGCCAGTAAGTACAAAAGCAGTTTGCCTGAAAACAAAATGCTTTAGGTTATTTATAAAACTGTTCCAAATTCATTATAAAATGGTTTTAGTGAATTAATGTCTTCTCTTTTTTTCTCCCCAAGGAAGTTTCATGATTCTAGATAACAAAAGTTAACTTCAGGATGCTAAAAAGGAAACAAAGTTCAAGGGTGGAAGCCCAGCCGGTTACAGATTTTGGTCCTGATGAATCTTTGTCAGACAATGCAGATATTCTGTGGATTAACAAACCAGTAGGTATTTCTTTCTGTAGTTACTAATTTTAAATATAACTTGTGTTGTTGAACTATGACTTCCACAAAAGATTCTGAAATAGATATTTGCCAGATGAAAGTATTGAGCTATAGTTGCTAATCTACCAGTTTATTTTTTGTAAAAAGTCCAAAACTAAACAAGGTTTCTTCTGGTTGTTGGAAACTGATGGGGGCAATCAAGCAGTGTTTGCCAACCAGTTCATTCACTGATTGTTTTTTTTTAAACAGCCATTCTTTCAATTCAGTGTCTCTGTTTCTAATTTCAAAAAACACATTAGGAAGTTAAGTTTGTAAAATGAGCTTTTGTAAAGGACGTTAAAAGGAACGTGTCATTGCTAAAGTGGTAGCCAGCAGGTGACACTTTGGACTTTCAGATCTCTCCTTTTACATCACTTATGAATATAAAAGTGTATTTTTGCTGGTTAATTTGAAGTACAGCTCACATTTTTCTTGTATCACTTAACTTACAGCCCGCTCTAAGAAATAGATAGGTGTAAAAGTGTGTGACAGCTTGAAACTGGGCAAAGCTTCATTGGGGGAGGAGCTATTAGTAGAATGTGAAGCATTAATAAAATGCCTTTACCATATAAATATGGTTATTACTATTATTTATTCATCAGTCAGTGTGCATCTAGGATTCCTATATTTTGAGTGATTCATGTTTTTGCAGAGAAGTCATTTTTGCAATTCTCTTAGAAAGTAATGTATAAATTTTTACTTCGTAAAAGCAGAAAGTCAGATATTCTGAAATAATACATGTTGTTGGCATTACATTCATTTAATGGAACTATCATCTCAATTGTGGTATGGATGCCAGACCCCCTCCGCTTTGCTGCTGAGTTTTAACACCTAAATCATTTACAAGACAACACCCATATATTAATTCATGCTAAGTAATCTTAAGTAGAATGTTTGTATTGACTACAGTTATAAGTTCAAAATATCATTGCAGAAATATATGCTGGGTTATTTACCTGTTTTCTCAGCACACAGTACACAGTTTTTTGATGGAATAATATTTTTCTTGTCACACGGATGGACTAGTTGTATATTGCTTAGCATGTATAAAACTGACATTTTACTGTGGCAGAGAATGGTTTTTATATCAGCCACACTTTAATGTTTATGTTAATTTTTTCAGTTTAAACAAGGTTTGAAAAGAAGTGGGTATTAAAGAGACATAAGAGATCATTCATCAGGTGCCTTCCATTTCCAAATTATTAATTTGGGCTAAGAGTATGCAAATGATAGAGGTATTCAATTCAGGTCAAATATCATTATGCTTAGGTGAGTGTGTAGTGAGTATTAAGTTAGGTGAGTGTTCTTAAATCTTCTTGATATCAAAAGGTCTGAGGTGGTGTAAATGAGTGTAGAAGTTTTCCCCTGATGAAAAATTGTTATAAATACACTTTAGTTCAGTGGGTTTTGTTTGGAGAATATTTTTCTTGTTGAAGTGTTTTTTTTTCTTTTCCTGTTTTGATAGCTACAACCTTACCAACTCTGATTCATTACAGTTTTCTGTCTTCGAGATGTTTCAATGGTGTTTTGAGTCAAAAGAAAAAAAAATCCAACCTTTAAACCCCTGTATTGATACATTCTGCTTTTTCATTAGACTTCCCACTGTGACTGGCACTAAATAGCAGCCTTATTAATAATGATAGTAATGGGACTGAGACCTAAGTAGTCATAGAAATGAACTGTTCTCTTATAGCAGCAAAACTTGTTTGGAACAAAAGTGAATTCTGATATTAAGAAGTACCTTTCTGTGGCATAGTCTCTTTTATATTTATTCTTTTCAAAAAGGAAGGATGCTTTTAATCCCTGTGCTTCTCACTTAATTTTTGGAATTGTAAACTGATTTAAAAATCAGTTCATGTAAATATGGAACTAAAATTTTCCACAGATATTTTTATTTAAAGTATTCACACAATTTATATCGTCAACTAATTCCACTTATTGTCTGCACGTAAGCGTGACAAGTTGTCATTTGAAAAGAAAATGGATTACAAAAGCCACAAAGTAGCAATGATAGAATCCTAACTCTCAGTTTCCTGGCTCGTAATTCTTGATTTCTGAATTGTACAACCTCCCAAATGAACTACTAAAATTATACATGTATATATACACACATATTTTATTTTACATATTTTATATATATGTGTAAAATAAAATAAAGTCAGGAGTGCTTATTTTTGGATGAAGACCTTTAATATATGGATCAAGATGTAAAAGAAAAATGCAAATGTGCATTTAGAAAAAGTTCCAGTACAAGTTATGGAGACTAAATATTTGAGCTTTTTTTGAACATCAAAGTATTCTCACAATGTCTTTTTTTTTTTTTTTACAGTGGGTACACTCTTTACTACGAATCTGTGCCATCATCAGTGTTATTTCTGTTTGTATGAACACTCCAAAGACCTTTGAGCATTATCCTCCTCTCCAATATGTGACATTTGCTCTTGATACACTATTGATGTTTCTTTACACTGCAGAGATGATAGCAAAAATGCATATCCGTGGGATAGTTAAGGTAAGCATTTAAACAGTATTCTACATGTGCTTAAGAAAGTGATCTGAATATATGCTGGTAACATTTGATCTTTGTTTTTTAACTTCTCAGTTAAAAGAGCAAAAAGCTCTTTTTGCTATGATTGTTTTTAACTGCAGGCAACACAATGGCATATAAACTGAAAAGACAGATTGAGAAAGATGCAGCTTTACTGCATAGTTAATCCCACCAAAATATAATTCCAACATTCATAATAATGGTTTCCTACTAAGAAAGAGATAGTTTCATTGTATTAATATAAAGAATGAATGGAAAAATAAGCTAAACACACTAGCAAGAATATTTTGTAAATGTCTGGAGATCCATATATGGATTTAGAACTTTGATTTTCATTTCAGGAGGTTGTATGTGTTGTGTTGTGGTTAGTTTCTTTAAATAAGAACAGATGTCTTACTGTGAGATAAATGAGAACGTTATCTTGCTTTACTGATTTTTTTCCTTAATACAATGCATGTTGGTAAACAAATGATGTTATACATGTATCCATGACAGTGCAGATTATTTAATTTGCACACTGACATGTTACTCTTTGTTTAGTACATAAAAATACAGTTGAATAGATTAGACATAACCACTGTTACGCAAATATAGATTGTTTAAATTTTAACAGCTGAGGATTTGCTTACAGCTTAATGTCTTGTAGCATTCATCAGTGAATATAGTTACACTGAAATGAAGTGCCTTCATTGGCGCTATTCATGGAGTCATAGAATGACCTAGATTGGAACGGACTTCCGAGGTCATCTAGCCTGACCTGCTGCCCAAAGCAGTTACAGTTGGATGAAGTTGCCCATGTCTTGGGTTGTCCAGGTGAATCTCAGATTCCCTCCAAGGATGAAGGGTCTACAAGCTCTCTAGACAGCCTCTTGCATTGGTTGACCAGCCTCATGCAAAAAATTGTTTTCCTAATACTCAGTCAGATTTTCCATGTTCCAACTTGTGTCCCTTGTATCTTTTCTTACCGCTGTGCACTTCCAAGAAGAGTTTGCCTCCATGATGATGGTTCACATCAAACTGGTGTTTTTTAATTATGTTTGGCAATGGAGCACGAACAATAGTTATCATTGTCGTGGACTTTTAAAAGTCTCCCAGTCCTAATGTGATGTCCAATCTCATCATTCATTCAATTCAGTGAATAACTCAGGGGTGTTTCAAGAGGTTACTTAATTTAGTTTTGTTTTTTATTGTCTCATGTAAGATAGAAATACATTAACATAGACCATCTTCACAGTGTAGTGTTTTCCCCAGCTATACTTTGGTATGTCTGCTCAGCAGATATGGGCTGAATCATAGTATCCTGAAACATAAAGCTCCTCTGGTACCAGGGTGGCTGAATAACAGAATGTAGTGTCAGTGATTTAGCAGGAGTCAGGAATCTCTTTTATGTTGGTACAGTGAACAGTGATAGGTTTGTTATCAACTAGCCTTTTACAGAATATGTTTACTTCTTTGGCAGCCACTTTTTTATGCTCTAAGTAATATTTTATTAGGTCAGAAATACTCTGTATTACTTGGAGTTTATCAGGAAACATATAATAAGGTGATTGCCAGAATACCGAGAGTGTGAAGATTTGCCAACATAGGCAAAGTCTAGGTAAGTCACTAACCTCTGATTCACTGGGTTCATAAAACTGGGACTTCCACATTTAGCTGGATGTTATCTTTACTGACTGCTACTGATGATTTATATTTGTATAAAGAATCTAAAAATTTAAGACTGTGTGCAACCATAATATACTACTTTGGTTTTGTGAATGAAATTACAGACTTATATGAAATAAATGCAATTTTGGACAGCACAGTACCACACCGTGTACCGATGTATAAAATGTAATAAATGTAGTGCAATGGTAAAAATTCCTGAATTCAATTTGGCATTGGTATTTTCATTATCTTTTCAGTTCAGAATTCCACTTTCTTCAATTGATCCTAGATTTGTTTGCATGGTCTTTATTTCCCAGAATGTAAATAGAGTTCAGTGATTCTTTGCTTCTGATTTCTTTCTGACCGAGGAGCCCGAGACATGAAAGAGCACTGCTATCATCAGCTGCATCAAGGAAGTATTAAGTCTGTTTAAATGAAAGCAGATCAATCTCCTTCACTGTATCCTGAATAAAATTTAAACTGGTCTCCCAATCATATGCAGTTTATGTCTACTGCATAACTTACTGATGGATTAGCAGGCTTCTGAGAGCAGCATGAATTAACTGATGTTTGTGTCTGTCGAAATAGTTTATGAGTCAACTTGTAACCTGACAACCCTCGCAGTCCCTCAGAATCAAAACTTACATTTATGTGCCCACTCATATGTCACTTATGACATGACTGTATGTGCTTGCCATAGGTCTGTTCATTGATTCAAGGAAAGTTTCCAAAATGATCACCTCACTGAAAAAATGAGGTGGGTTGGAATTAGAGAAATGAAAGATAACTCTCAAACCTGAAATCGATGTGATATTAGATGAGCATCAGACTACTGAAAGAAAGCAGGGAGCCTAACCTGTGATGGAAGGACTTTGTATTTCTTTTAATGAGTGTGATGCAAAAATTACCTTCTGCTTTCTAATAAGGTCTTCTGAAGGTCATCTCAGATGGGTATGAGCAAGGTAAGGATACCTTGCTTTAAAGGTATCTTATCTTTATTAGAAGTTTTTACTTTCGGCCTTTGTATTAGGAGATGAAATAGGGAGATAGAGAAATATTACAGGTAAATTGCATGTATTAGACAAAATTGCACCAGGTGGCATTTTAAAATAACCAGAGAGGAAAATGTGCCAAAATCTGAGAAACTTTCAGGAAACGATGTCCATGATATGGAAGAATTCACATCCACTACAACAAAAAAGAACCAAGTAACAGGTATGTCAGGTGAAAATTCAGACTTTAGGGAATAAGATATGAATGGATATCGTTTCACTCCATGGACACTGTGAGGGTATGTGAAATTATCTTCATTATACCACATACTCATTGCGGCTTCTAATCACAGTTGTGATGGTATTAGAAAACCTACATTGAAATCATGTTGTGAAAAGGAGGCGTGGTTTATCATGTTCCTCTGTTAGAAGAGTAATGCTGTAAAATAAAAAAGTGTGAGAATTCTCTCTCCTGTTTGTTAAAAAAGCCTAGCTGACACTTAGTTTAGTATCATCATGCTGAAAATTAGGATTTTTTTATATAGCACAAGAAGTGCACTGGATTTAATAGAAATCTCTTTCTTTTCACTGTGCAGTTGTAACACGTCAGCTAACAAAGGAGATCATAGAAAGTCAGAAGTAATGGTCCTTGACATTTCCCCCATTGTTATTTCTACTACTTTCACAGCAAAACTTTAGTGCTAACTGAAGTAGTTGCGAGTAGATTTGTCAGACTTTATTTCAGCAGCACTCAGCACTGTTCACTGACTCTGGTAGTCCCACGAGGAGCTGAAGTGAATGCTTGCACCATGAGCTTTCAACACTCTCTCGGTGAATTAATGTAGGAACTGAAACAAAGCATAAACTTCTACCAACGCAGATAGATGGGAGCTGTTTCGTTTGCTTCTGTCTAGTACTAAAGGCCAGTTAGCTGAAATCTCTGGCTTTCAGCGTATCGGATGTTCCCAGGCACTGATAGCCCTGTGCAGAGAGCACGTTTTTTTCATCGTTTTTCTGATGGGTGCTTTGGTTGCTGTAGTTGCTCTCTGCTCAAGAGGAGAACACCAAGGACGGAGCAGGCTGGAGACTTACCTGAGCCATGTGAGCTTAACTCTGTACATTCAGTTCTCTGGCAATATAAGGAGTTTTCCACCTGTAGTGCAAACATCGTGCGGTGGAGTCGGGCTTTTTTTGTTGTGATGAAATACTCTGGTTGCCATGAACTGAACTGGGGTCTGCAGCTGTTTCCAGTGGCCGCTCATGTCTGTTCACATATTCTGACACTTTTTGTTACCTTTGCTTGCACAAAATAGATTTCTGGGCTTAAAATAGAAACCCTTTTAGTAGGTTTCATCAGTGCCAATTTGAGGGTCTGCAGTTGTCTGTAATTAGTTGTTTGTGTCTAAAGCGGGCTCTTCCAAAAGGTAATTTCTCTGGCCTGTTTTTTTCCATTGAGTGAAAGGGTAGCTTAAAGTACCTAGGCTGACACGTAGCCTTTAGGTAGCTCAGTCAGCCATTACTCTAGCTCGTTATTATAGATTTGTTGTCAATGGACGGGTGGGCACTACAGAAAGTATACAGACAACTGGATGCCAGCTGCTTCTTTAATGCTTATGGCATTAACTCATTTATGCTTAAATGAGTTTCTTCCATAATCATCCCAATTCAGAAGTTTTGTCTTCAGTTATGGATTACAGAACTGTTGTTTACTGTGCCTTATTACAAGTATCTGTTTTGTCTTCTTTTCAGTACTTTCAATATTAAACATTCCACCTTCATCTAACAAAAATGGAGAAATGACAAAATAAGTTTAATCCTTCTGATAAGTGATGGAAATATTAGTTGAATTGTGGTGAAACACCGTCATCTGGCTCACCAGCTTTTAGTAACTTTGTGAAGGGAGTTTCTGCTGTGTTACCGACTGAAAACAGAAGGTGGAAATTCTGAAATTACTGTGCTCTGTGACTTACACCCCAGGGCATATAAATGAGTTAAGGATTAGGAAATTGTGTTGTTTTCAAAAGTCAGGTAGTAAAACAGAATATGGGGCTGCTATCATCCTGTGTCAGCACGCTCTGATGTGCTCGTGATGGCTGGTGGTGAAAGCTCAGTCTTAGGAATATGCAAGTCACAAACAGAAGTGAGAACCTCGACCTGGAGAGCACGGGCAGTGGAATGCTTTGATTAAACAGGGTATAATTATGTGGAGGGGAAAAAAGAGAAAACTACTTACCTGTGATAGTAAAAAGCTCACAGAGCAAACATGAAAAATGACCCAGTTGATTTCAGATTTGAGTTTGCCCTTTGACTCTACTTCTTGGGAGT